TTATATCAGGTTGGTGTTTCCTCTGTAACACATTAGTTAATGCATTACTTAAAGCGCCCCAGTTATGTTCTGAATATTGCCTTTCATGCAGTGTGTAGTACAGCTGTTAGTGAATGTAGACGTTCTGTAAACTATAAAGAAATAATGGACTGAACCGGCTTTACGTGTCGTCGGTGTTTCTGTCCCACTGCTTTACGGCTCTACGTCACTACAAGATACATTTGCATATAATGTCCGCCCGCGAACAACTCGACACGCCCTCAAACGTCACTTTAATGACGAACGCTTCATTCAGAATGTGGGATTCGCTAAACTCTAGCTCTACAAAGACGGGTCTGTGCCCGGTGTATTTGGACCAACTTGCTCCTCAGAATCACAACCTGCGACTATGAATAATTAGTGATTTATACATTTTATTGTGGGTGTTCAAAATAGTTTTGTGTTTTATATTGTGTAAGATTCCGGCTAACTCACGTTATCCCTGTCTTACTGAAATACATTTGCTGATCAGCTGTGGTCGATCACTACCTAAAACTGAGTATATTAATGCAGATCGTCTGTTCTCACTACTTTGAATAAAGATAAATCATATTTTACAAACGTTTATGTTAAATCAGTCATTCACGTTAGTGCTGAGTGAAACATTTGCACCATTATTTATTATACAGTTCCCACGTGTGCACCGGAATAAATGATTAATATACACATGGGTTTGTTGATGAACATACTCTTGTTAATGCTGACGGTGAGGAATTACTGTTTCGCGTATGACAGAGGAATACTGAGTCCTGCTCCAGTCGTGCTTGCCATGGAGGTTCGGGTTGAATAACTGATTATTTCAGTGTTGCATCACTGGACGCATGCTCGGATGGATATGGATATGGTAAAATCAATGTCATCATTCGTTACTGTCTTTAGTTTACAGTGTGTATGATCGCTAAGCTGTAGGAAGCCGTCTGACCAATCAGAGAAGAGGAGACCAATCACAACAAGCTGGGCGTTTGGCCAATCAGAGAAGAGTAGCTCACAGAAAGGAGGGATTTAGAGACATTTCATCAAGTCATCTAAGAATCATTGATAAATGTGGTGATGTGGAATATAAATGATGAGAAAATGAAAGTGTTTTTTGACCTTTGGTGCAAGTAGACCTGTTGTAGGAGACTCCAAAACAACATCAGGAGCCTTTAAACACGTTAACATCACCTAACAATAAGCAACAGCATTTATTATCTTTGTTAATATTAGTTAGTAAAAATACAGCTAGTCTCACACATCCTTACTTCTAATCTGACCTCTGACCTCTGACCCCTAAACCAACCCATCTGGGCATCCTGTGCGAAACACTAGATTCAAACAGAAACAAGATTTGGCCGATTGATGAGCCTTTTTAGCATGTAAAATGTCCTCAGTTGTCATGGTAATTAGTTCATATTAATCATATGTACAGACACGGACACTCACACACAAACACACACACACACACACACACACACACACACACACACACACTGGTGATTCCATCATCTTCTCATCAGATCTGCAGGACGTCTGCCATTCATTCAGAGCGATAACACCCTCACTGTAGCAACACCCACCGCCTGCACACACACACACACACACACACACACACACACACACCATCTGCACATTAAGTCATTTTACCTGCGGCATCGCATTTCATGTGCAGAGAAAAGTGATGTGCAGAGACCTCGCTAAAATGAAAGGCATCGCTCAGTGCAGCTGACAGCAGGAATATTCAGGAGACACACACACACATACTGACACACACGCACACACATACTGACACACACATACTGACACACACACATACTGACACACACACACACACACGCACACACATACTGACACAGACACATACTGACACACATACTGACACACACACACACACACGCACACACATACTGACACACACACATACTGACACACACACATACTGACACACACACACACGGAGAACCGTGATTTAGATACGCTAACGCTGCAGTGAACTGTAATCAGGACACTAGCCTATCAGGATTCTCTCAGAACGCTGGAACTGGTTCCTTCCTACATCAGATCAGACGCTGCAGGAAGAGCACAGATGCCTGATGGGTAATCGATATGTGCAACCTTTCTCTGTGTCTGTAGGGCGTTTGGACGACTCTAATTTTAATATGGAAACCTCAGAGGAGACGAGGAGGAAATGGGTTAGTTTGACTGGTTCAACTAAACATCAGGTCACAATTAACTAAACCAGATCAACCCTGCTGCTAATGTCAGATATACTGCGTGATGAAGTTATATTAAGCAATATAAAAGATAGAAGATACAGTTTAAAAACAAAGCTTTACATGTAGTTCACTCAGACAGAGTGAATGTGGAGTTAGAATGAAGCTGGAGAAAGTTCTGGTTCTGGCCTTCTGAGTTCTCATGTGTCTAACCTGCAGTGTGTGTGTGTGTGTGTGTTAATAATTCAGGATCTGCTAGACAGGAAGTGCTCAGACTACAGAGTGAGTGACATCAGCGCATCATACGTGTTTCAGTGTAACTGATGAAGTCCTTCAGTCATCCGGATGTTCAGTACAGGAGAAGTGTTCAGCTCCAGCGGATCAGCTGTCCGTCAACAGCCAGAATAATGAGAGGAATAGCAGAAGAGTGTGACGTCTGTGTGTCGAAGCTGGTCTTCAGGCACTTTATGTGTCGATTCTGCTGCTCTTACTGTTTTCAATGTTGTTCTTTATCGATCAAGCAAAGAGCAAACCCGTCCTTGACAAAAGCAGTGTGACGGTGGTTAACCCTAAACAGAAACGCCATCAGCAGAAACATGAAGAACAGACAGAAAATGACACAATCCATCCCCATCATCGTCTGCCTGAAACCATCAGCTTTATTTCGACAGCACTTTCTGCAGTCCAGACCGTGTTAGAGGACAAGAACACAATCATGATGACATTCATCTGTACTGAGCTCAGTCCGGGTCTGATGATGGAGTCATTCGTTTAGAAGCAGATCAGAGTTTAATGAGTTAAACACCAGTCTTTTCATCATCATCATCATCATCATCATCATTCAGCACTGTGGAACATCAAAGCATCATGAGTTAATCTGAAGCACAAGGATTCAAGTTCCTAAATGCTTATGATGAGGACATGCCAACTGGCCACTGAAACCAGTCTGGACCACTTCGCCAAGTGAATATAACTATACCCCTAACTATAGCACACAGTTAGTGTTGGCGGCGTGGTTCTGTGCCTGAGCAGCAGGTCTGACCCTGGGGTTAGGAACAGAACCTGTCTATGTAATAACACGAGTTGTGGAAATACAAATGACAGAAGATGCTTGAAGTGTAGTGAACTGGAAAACGAAATCACCAAAGGTCCGCTCGGCTGCAGGTTGGGTTGGAGAAGGAGTTAGACTGCGAGCAGTGATGCGATCCAGGAGGAAAGGGAATCTAATGTGATGGATCCGAAACCGGATTGGAACACGGCTAACGGGCCCTGCCTGAACTCACGCCATTCTTGATCATTTTAAGTTAAAAATAAAATCAACTTCATCATTTCTTTGGATCTCACTGCAAGAACAAAGCGGTAATGAAAGTAAGAATGACTTCCACGTGTGTGTGTGTGTGTGTGTGTAAGCACAGAGCCGGAGGAACGTCAGAGACTCATAAACGTCTTCATGTCAGTGGATCTGTCAGAGATCTCCTCAGAGAATCACGACGTCTGATTGTTATATTCTCATGTGTAACTCGTGCAGGAGATCTCGTCCTGACGGCAAGAGTCTCTGATTGATGACTTTAATGATGACTGTCGGAAGATAATCCAGCGTACAGAGAACGTTCTGGCAAGATTCTCTGAGTCATGAACAAACGTTCTTCCAGTAACACTAATTAAACGTTCGTTCAAACTTATCTGGCCTTTGATAGTGTTCTCAGAACAAGCACAAAACAATATTTACACATCTGTCGTGAAACATTTCAGTTGGACGTTTACATCTAAACCTTTTTTTAGATGTAACTACTTGTTTCAGAACGAACAGAAAACATTCAAAAGTAACGTTCTTATAGTGTTTGAAGAATGATGCAATGTAATGTTAGTGAAACACACTCATAACACTTAACAAATGTAATGTTTTGAACGTTCAGAGAACATTGAGAAATAACGCTTCAGGAAACTAGAACAAATGTGGGCGGGGCTTAACTGTGACGGTAGGGAATTGATTGGATGGTTGTGGTTTGCTATTGGTGGATCTCGTGTGAGTGACAGGTTGCCCCGCCCCCTTTGTCATCAGAGAAGAGAAGAGGGGAAGTTATTCTGATTCAAGATTATTTAACAATAATGATGTGTGTCCATAAATCATTTATAATAAACACTGAAATATTCTGCAAAAAGTGTGTGTGTGAGAGCTGATTAAACTCATATAGATACTGCAGCTCTGTCTGTTTCTCACTGCCTCAGCAAATCTCCTGTCTGTCTCATTAGTGTCTGACACACTGACTCCCTCAGGCGAGCCCACAGCAAGTGTCCAGCTCTCTCTCTCTCTCACACACACACACACACACACACACACTGAGCTGCCTGTCAGAGAGACAAACAGTGAGAGAGAGACAGACAGCTGCTGGTTAGCAGAGTTTCTCAGCGGTTTAATTGGAGGAAAGTGTGTGTGTGTGTGTGTGTGTGTGTGTGCGAGTGTGTGTGACCGGCAGCCTGTCGTTGTCTCTCTGAATGTTTGCTCATGAACGTGTCGTCTGTAGTTCTTTATGGCCTAAATGAGCGCTGGAACAGGACACTTCCATGACGGGGTTTGTCTTCAGTTGACCAGAATCTGATTCACTCTCTGGTTTAATCAAGTTTATCATTCCTTTCTATTACTGTGAAGCTGCTTTGAAACAATCTATGTTGAATAAAGCAAATCCATGTGGAAAGCACACAAATGAAGGGATCACATGTAGTTAGTGTGTGTGATGTGTAAGACCCTAACCTGAGCTGTGTCTCTGTCAGGTGTTATGTGGACGATAAGGTGTCGAAGGTGGCCTGGCTGAACCGCTCCAACATCATCTTCGCTGGCGAGGACAAGTGGTCCCTGGACCCGCGGGTGGAGCTGGTGACCCAGGGTCAGCTGGAGTACAGTCTGAGGATCCAGAAGGTGGACGTGTTCGACGAGGGCCCGTATACCTGCTCCATCCAGACCAAACAACAGTCCAAGACCTCGCAGGTGTTCCTCATCGTTCAAGGTGAGCGCCGTGTCAAGTCAAGTCACATTTATTTATATATAGCGCTTTTCACAATACAGATTGTATCAAAGCAGCTTCACAGTCATAAGCAGCTTCCGTGTGATTGACAGGCTGTCAGACCAATGACAGCTCATCTTCTGGTAATCCCTGGCAGGACCCTCTCACTCGCTCCCATCACACACACTCCCGTCACACACACTCCCGTCACACACTCCCCTCACACACTCCCATCACACACACTCCCGTCACACACTCCCATCACACACACTCCCGTCACACACTCCCGTCACACACTCCCCTCACACACTCCCCTCACTCGCTCCCATCACACACACTCCCGTCACACACTCCCCTCACTCGCTCCCATCACACACTCCCATCACACACACTCCCGTCACACACTCCCCTCACACACTCCCCTCACTCGCTCCCATCACACACACTCCCGTCACACACTCCCATCACACACACTCCCGTCACACACTCCCCTCACTCGCTCCCATCACACACACTCCCGTCACACACTCCCTCACACACTCCCCTCACTCGCTCCCATCACACACACTCCCGTCACACACTCCCATCACACACACTCCCGTCACACACTCCCCTCACTCGCTCCCATCACACACTCCCATCACTCACTCCCATCACACACTCCCATCACACACTCCCATCACACACTCCCATCACACACTCCCCTCACTCGCTCCCATCACTCACTCCCCTCACTCACTCCCATCACACACTCCATCACACAATCCCTCACTCGCTCCATCACACACTCCCATCACACACTCCCATCACACACTCCCATCACACACTCCCATCACACACTCCCCTCACTCACTCCCATCACACACTCCCATCACACACTCCCATCACACACTCCCTCACTCGCTCCCATCACTCACTCCCATCACACACTCCCGTCACACACTCCCATCACTCACTCCAGTCACACACTCCCATCACACACACTCCCGTCACACACTCCCCTCACTCGCTCCCATCACACACTCCCATCACACACACTCCCATCACACACTCCCATCACACACTCCCCTCACTCACTCCCATCACACACTCCCATCACACACTCCCCTCACTCGCTCCCATCACACACTCCCATCACACACTCCCCTCACACACTCCCCTCACTCACTCCCATCACACACTCCCATCACTCACTCCAGTCACACACTCCCATCACACACACTCCCATCACACACTCCCATCACACACTCCCCTCACTCGCTCCCATCACACACTCCCATCACACACTCCCATCACTCACTCCAGTCACACACTCCCATCACACACACTCCCGTCACACACTCCCCTCACTCGCTCCCATCACACACTCCCATCACACACTCCCATCACTCACTCCAGTCACACACTCCCATCACACACACTCCCATCACACACTCCCCTCACTCACTCCCATCACACACTCCCATCACACACTCCCATCACACACTCCCATCACACACTCCCATCACACACTCCCCTCACTCACTCCCATCACACAATCCCCTCACTCACTCCCCTCACTCACTCCCATCACACACTCCCATCACACACTCCCATCACACACTCCCATCACACACTCCCATCACACACTCCCCTCACTCGCTCCCATCACTCACTCCCCTCACTCACTCCCCTCACTCACTCCCATCACACACTCCCATCACACACTCCCATCACACACTCCCATCACACACTCCCATCACACACTCCCCTCACTCGCTCCCATCACTCACTCCCCTCACTCACTCCCCTCACTCACTCCCATCACACACTCCCATCACTCACTCCCTCACTCACTCCCATCACACACTCCCATCACACACTCCCATCACACACTCCCATCACACACTCCCCTCACTCGCTCCCATCACACACTCCCCTCACTCGCTCCCATCACTCACTCCCTCACTCACTCCCATCACACACTCCCATCACACAATCCCCTCACTCGCTCCCATCACACACTCCCATCACACACTCCCATCACACACTCCCATCACACACTCCCATCACACACTCCCATCACACACTCCCCTCACTCGCTCCCATCACTCACTCCCATCACACACTCCCGTCACACACTCCCATCACTCACTCCAGTCACACACTCCCATCACACACACTCCCGTCACACACTCCCTCACTCGCTCCCATCACACACTCCCATCACACACACTCCCATCACACACTCCCATCACACACTCCCGTCACACACTCCCATCACACACTCCCCTCACTCGCTCCCATCACACACTCCCCTCACTCACTCCCATCACACACTCCCCTCACTCGCTCCCATCACACACTCCCATCACACACACTCCCATCACACACTCCCGTCACACACTCCCATCACTCACTCCAGTCACACACTCCCATCACACACACTCCCGTCACACACTCCCCTCACTCGCTCCATCACACACTCCCATCACACACACTCCCATCACACACTCCCATCACACACTCCCGTCACACACTCCCATCACACACTCCCCTCACTCGCTCCCATCACACACTCCCCTCACTCACTCCCATCACACACTCCCCTCACTCGCTCCCATCACACACTCCCATCACACACTCCCATCACACACTCCCTCACTCACTCCCATCACACACTCCCATCACACACTCCCGTCACACACTCCCATCACACACTCCCCTCACTCGCTCCCATCACACACTCCCCTCACTCACTCCCATCACACACTCCCCTCACTCGCTCCCATCACACACTCCCATCACACACTCCCATCACACACTCCCCTCACTCGCTCCCATCACACACTCCCATCACACACTCCCATCACACACTCCCATCACACACTCCCATCACACACTCCCCTCACTCGCTCCCATCACACACTCCCATCACACACTCGCCTCACTCACTCCCATCACTCACTCCCCTCACTCACTCCCATCACACACTCCCCTCACTCACTCCCATCACTCACTCCCATCACACACTCCCATCACACACTCCCTCACTCACTCCCATCACTCACTCCCCTCACTCACTCCCATCACACACTCCCATCACTCACTCCCATCACACACTCCCATCACACACTCCCCTCACTCGCTCCCATCACACACTCCCCTCACTCACTCCCATCACACACTCCCATCACACACTCCCCTCACTCGCTCCCATCACACACTCCCATCACACACTCCCATCACACACTCCCATCACACACTCCCATCACACACTCCCCTCACACACTCCCATCACACACTCCCATCACACACTCCCATCACACACTCCCATCACTCACTCCCATCACTCACTCCCATCACACACTCCCATCACACACTCCCATCACTCGCTCCCATCACACACTCCCCTCACTCACTCCCGTCACACACTCCCATCACACACTCCCCTCACTCGCTCCCATCACACACTCCCATCACACACACTCCCGTCACACACTCCCATCACACACTCCCATCACACACTCCCCTCACTCACTCCCGTCACACACTCCCATCACACACTCCCCTCACTCGCTCCCATCACACACTCCCATCACACACACTCCCATCACACACTCCCATCACACACTCCCGTCACACACTCCCATCACACACTCCCCTCACTCGCTCCCATCACACACTCCCCTCACTCACTCCCATCACACACTCCCCTCACTCACTCCCGTCACACACTCCCATCACACACTCCCCTCACTCGCTCCCATCACACACTCCCATCACACACACTCCCATCACACACTCCCATCACACACACTCCCATCACACACTCCCATCACACACTCCCCTCACTCACTCCCATCACACACTCCCCTCACTCGCTCCCATCACACACTCCCATCACACACTCCCATCACACACTCCCCTCACTCACTCCCATCACTCACTCCCATCACACACTCCCCTCACTCGCTCCCATCACACACTCCCATCACACACTCGCCTCACTCACTCCCATCACTCACTCCCATCACACACTCCCCTCACTCACTCCCATCACTCACTCCCATCACACACTCCCATCACACACTCCCCTCACTCACTCCCATCACTCACTCCCTCACTCACTCCCATCACACACTCCCCTCACTCACTCCCATCACTCACTCCCCTCACTCACTCCCATCACACACTCCCATCACTCACTCCCATCACACACTCCCATCACACACTCCCATCACACACTCCCCTCACTCGCTCCCATCACACACTCCCCTCACTCACTCCCATCACACACTCCCCTCACTCGCTCCCATCACACACTCCCATCACACACTCCCATCACACACTCCCCTCACTCACTCCCATCACACACTCCCATCACACACTCCCGTCACACACTCCCATCACACACTCCCCTCACTCGCTCCCATCACACACTCCCCTCACTCACTCCCATCACACACTCCCCTCACTCGCTCCCATCACACACTCCCATCACACACTCCCATCACACACTCCCCTCACTCGCTCCCATCACACACTCCCATCACACACTCCCATCACACACTCCCATCACACACTCCCATCACACACTCCCCTCACTCGCTCCCATCACACACTCCCATCACACACTCGCCTCACTCACTCCCATCACTCACTCCCCTCACTCACTCCCATCACACACTCCCCTCACTCACTCCCATCACTCACTCCCATCACACACTCCCATCACACACTCCCCTCACTCACTCCCATCACTCACTCCCCTCACTCACTCCCATCACACACTCCCATCACTCACTCCCATCACACACTCCCATCACACACTCCCCTCACTCGCTCCCATCACACACTCCCCTCACTCACTCCCATCACACACTCCCATCACACACTCCCCTCACTCGCTCCCATCACACACTCCCATCACACACTCCCATCACACACTCCCATCACACACTCCCATCACACACTCCCCTCACACACTCCCATCACACACTCCCATCACACACTCCCATCAC